TGCAAGAATTATCAAAAAAATATATTTTTGCGTTCCTTATATGTGATTAGGTACGTTGCATGAATAAGAATAATAAAATTAATTATTAACAAGATTAAAGTCACGCCAAAGGACAATCCAGTGTCCCTCATTATCGTTATTAACTTTTATAACTGTTATTGCTGAAATGATTACACTTAATGACGTCTAATTTATGATGGAAACGCTCGGAGCCGTGAGAAAAAAAATCAAAAGATCCGACTTTTAACTATGAAGAGATATTATATTTAAATGAAAGGTTCCTGATTCAACTTCGATAGGTACCTGAAATGACCATAACAGAATATCAATGTAATCCTTATGCAGCATCGCATTAAGTAAAAAATCGTGTAATCGCTGTTATTTTCTTGCATGGAAGAGTGTCGTAAAAGTGAGAGGAGGTCAACAGCACGCCGTATCGACGGTACCACAGATACGGTACTAACTGCAGTAGTAAGATGGTGACCGAAAAAAAGCATTGAAATATTGTTTGTTGTCGGAGTAAATGAAATTCTTGCTGTAGAAGTAGTTATTTATTTCGATATAAATTCTTCGACTTTGATATGGAGCTCGCATATAATAATTATAAATAAATCGTATTATATTATTAAAGTAACTTTTTGTTAGGAGATTCTGTAATGTTCCGAGGATCACCTTCTGCTTGTTCCAATAAATTTTTCATAATCACTTTCAAAAGCGGCGATACTTTTACGTTGCTCACTGTCAACAGTATATGTCAACCGCACACTGAACACTGAGTCATGTCCGAGATACGGCTAGCGCTGTGTGTCAGAGTGAGGAAAAGGGAGCCACACATACTGGCGCCGTTATGCGTTACGCTACCAAGCGATTTACTCTCCCATAAGAAGTCATCACTTCAAAAAAAGTCTCAGTCATTCACTGGAATTATTTCTCGGATAACATTTTATACAATAGCACCGGAATTAATTTGGAAAATTTCAGAGGAGCCCAATTAATCGCAAATGAAAGTTTGGAAAGTATTACACAATTGGATCCTGCGGTTTACAAACATCAGTTACAATCTGTTTTATGTTATTCAGACCTAGTTAAAAATCTATTTTTAAATTAAATTATCACGTCAGTTATTAGTAATCTCAATGTGGAGTATATACACACATTTGAATAAATAAATCCGTGACTCATATACGCCGCATAAAAAGCGATAATAGCGCAATTTACCTTTTCATTAATGTCAACATTTTTCGTCGCATGTTTTTGAGAAGGCCGATAAAGTAATCAAACTTTATTATGTTGATAATGGAAAGTAAATATTCGGCGGTAAAATAAATGTCTTCAAGATAAGACAATTCTCGAAACGTGGTCCTAACTTTCAACAGCAGTTGCACCATCAGTATAGATATTCACAAATTCATCATAAGAGTACTGATCGGAGTGCCATGTCAACTCTATGGTATAGTCGAAGTAATCTTTATTGTGAATACTTAAAGCTATCGGCGCCCTCAACGGCAAAAAAACCAATACAAAGAGATAAAGCCGCTGCCAGCTAGTCCACGTGGACTGAAGAATTGGCGGTTCGTATTGGATGATTTTTACTAACCAAGTTTTATGATTGGCTGAAGAGTATAAAATTGAATTTTGAAGTCATGTTACGGTGACGAATAGAATGCGAGCTGTCGTGTTGTCAATGTTCAGTTCAGGGAATGATCGCGATTTGAGTGTTGAAGTTCGATATCGGTGCAGTTATAATTACTATTTTTGTTATCTGTTTAAAATGTGGCGTTCTTGGACAAGTACTAAAAGTAATAACGAGTGCGCTAACAACGCAGACTTTTTCCTGTGTAGTGATTCCAATAGTGCTGCTGAACAATGCGATACCAGTGAATAAGATTTGGATGCATTTGAAAATTGAAGCACGGAGAGTATTTCTCAATGTATATAAGAATCTACATCTCAAGTTTGGTTCTTTGAAATTATGTGGAAAAAAACTAATTGTTCTTTTAGATGATTTGATTTATAGCCACTTTTCAAGTACGCCCACTGACTATATGTGCAAAAATAAACATGTTCAAAACCTAAAAATGAGATTATTAGTTTCATTAGTTTCAAAACTAGCTGGAATATATGTGACAGTTTTTTGAGTTTCGATTCTCATAAACGTTTTAATAAAAAGACTACCTGTAAATTATGAGCAATTTGGAACTAGTTGCTTTGCAACAAGAAAACGTCTACCGAATGACATATGCTGCGTTAACGTTCATAATTATTTAATTATTCCGGTTTCTGCAGGTTCTCTTGGTCGCTTTCCCGCTAACCTGTATGAGACAATGGAGTAAAAACAAATCTTTTATTTTTTCAACAAAATCTTCATTACTACTCCTCTGGTGGTTTCTCTATAACATCAGTTTTACTTAAAAGTCCGATAAATTGAAAATATGTGAATATTTTTTGTACAAAACTGGTCAAAATCCGACCTTTTTTCCCAGTTTGTTTTAAACGAATTTGGATCAGTTTTTCTTTCATGTTTGACTAAGTAAACGTTATTTCTAGAATGTGTTTTTATTTGCGACCAAATAGCAATAAACAAAACATAATTATTCAATGTTCAAGGAAGTTTTATAATGAACAATAGATATAGATACAATTAAATACTGTTACAAATGTATTATATACATTAATTACATTATTATTATTAACTTATGATTAAGGACGGTAGAAAACTGTAAACAACTGGAATCGGCCTTCACTGTGGCGGATAAGTTACCGAGAAAATTCACCAGATGGCGAAACGGTACTAGTTAAAATGGAAATAAATGAAATAGATGTGATTTGTCACAGGACTACAACATTTTTCCGCTTTAAGAATGCTAGTACCTTGAAATATTTGCTTGTATTAACACCATTTTTAACTTGCTTCGCAAAGTTGATGAGTTCCATATTTTTGATTTCTCTTCTAGATAGGCTAAGTAGACGGTTTCGCTGAAATTTCCTTCGAAGTTTTCAAGTCTACACCAGCTAAGAAAATTGGAATATGCGATGTCGTACTGCTGAGCCGATTTTTTTTGTGTCAATTCAATTGAAGCTCTTTCTGCAGCCTCTTCAATATCGTCAAGTATACACAATTCCTCACTATTGTTCATTATTATGCAAGACATTAAGCACCAGCAAGAACTTTAAATGTGACTTTAAATAAAACGTGTGAGCTGTAAGCAATACCGTTTGTTCGTAACCAGGAGGTTCGGCATCACCTAACACGGCCTCTTCACAGCAAATGCGATAACATGAAAATAGTTAACTGACCAGAGCTGTCAAAATGTGTTCAAAAGTTGCACAAAAAACTTTGTATGATATTTGTGTTAGAAGTAATTTTTTTCTGTTCGTGAAATTGCTCAACTCGCTACGCTCGTTTCGCAAACTTTTTCACTCACAAAATGAAACGTTACTTTCAACACTCGTATCATAAACAGCTATTATTGAGATATGAATATCAAAACGGACAAAGCTTTTGAAACAACCTAATATTTCGTTTTAGGTACGCCTATGGGCAGTTCAGGTAACAATTGATGTTTAAAATATGTTCAAAATATGTTTTTTCCGTTAACCAGCTATCGCACCCCTACGAACGACCACCCTCAGAAGTCGAAAATTGTGCGAGCTAAGGACTAGCGAGGTCTTACCTTTTAACATGTGATTCTTAACAATTTTTCTAATTTGCCGAACAGAAACTAATCAAAAAAAAATTGTTTATCGTTATCTCAGCACGTACAGCCTTTGGATTAGTAATTTTTCGATATCAGCTATTGCACTGGCGGACTGCATAAACATGGATTTTTATTTGAGTCATCTCATGACAGAACTCCATTTGGATCTAATTTACATTTCATGGACTTACAGAAGCGATCGCCATAAATTATTTCACAGTCAACATTTAAACGTGTAGTAATGCCGCAACATGACATTCGAAATATTCAGTTTTCAGTTAGTTATTCCTGCAAAGTCCTGTTGATTCTTCCGACTGGTCTTTTTGCTCATTAAAATTCTTTACGAGTTATTGGAATGGTGTAGATTTACACATAAACTTGTAGCTTCGCTTGTCTTTAATATTAAATAAGTACATAGGCGTGGATTGCTATAAATAGAACTGGAAATTTCTCCATTACGAATGTTTCAATCACTGCAAGCAAAAAAGTGTCTTCTTGAACTTTTAATAGGTTGACTTTTTTCAGAGAAACGTTAAAACAAATACTCAATCTCGGTGAAATGTCCATGAAGTAGCGATATATTTTGAGAAATCTCACAAGTTGGTACTTGTCTAGAGAGGTTTGTTACAACGTGTATGAGATCTGGTAAAAAATAAGGTGATTGTTCAAATTTCGCGGCTTGTACATTCGATTAGCGATTTTTTGTTTTATGTTGGTACACTTAGTGAATATTGAATTGGAAATTTACATCTCAAATTCACTCGAGAAATTACATAAGAAAATATACAGCAAATGTAATGTAAAATTGCGATGGAAAGCTACATACCTAATTATGTGATAACTGATTTTTCAATATTTTGATTTATAATAATTTACATACATATTTACAACATGTTATATATTATTATGCGATTTCCCGTGATTCAAAACATTTACAAATCGTTGCGTAAATTTACAGTACTTAACGGTCACAAATTGCGAACGTTTTGGTATGTAATTTTACAAAAATATTTTTTCCGTGTATTCAAAAAGGAGTATTTCCTAATTATCTTTGTTGAGAAAGACCACATTATTATGGACACATACTACATAGAAAAGTTTTTAGGTCAAGGTCATACGACTTGGGAACTTGATTGTTAAAGACCCTGACATTCTCACACTAAACTTCGTCATTGACCTACTATTCTATTCGAAATTTTTCAAAATCGACATTCATATACTGGAAGCCAGATATCATCGAAACTGTTCGGGCTACGGCTGGACCAGAGCAAAGATATCTTGATATTGTACAGACAATGCGTTAGGAAAATTATAGAAGAACTAGATAAACTTGAGGAACGTGCTTCGAATCTTTATGGAGACCTCGATAACTTGCTTAGAAAAATTCACAGAACTGTCCATATGAGAATCGCCCTTCCCGTTAGCATCATTTTTTCATTATTCGAAAAATTGTCGGACTTGTGGGTCAATATGCAAAATCAGGTAATACTAATGTCTAAACTGCACGACATTATGATCAGCTTGGAGGTGTACACCAGAAATCTGGACTACAACAAAGAATGGCTGGATAACCAGCCGGCTGTCACAGATGCCGAAAGACTAGAAAAAACCGCCAATTGTTCTCTCAAGTCCACCAATGAACAAGTACAAGTTTTTCGCATCGAGAACTTCCAAAACATCGACAAGGTTCGATTGCAGTTTCTAGGCTCCTGCTGCTGGAAATTTGTCGAAACTGACGAGGGTCTGATTCCTGGAAACCCAAGTATGGGCATCGTGAAATATAAAAACTTGAATTATGTTTTTTCCACTCCAGAAGCATGTGAGAGTTTCTCGAAGAATCCTGATCGGTAAGATTACCACGGTGGTCCCAGAAGTAACCGGCTTGACCTAGTGATGACAGTAGTTGATTGAAAAATCAGAAAAATATCAATGTATTAGAAAGTACACAATCTATAAAGCATATGTTTCAAGTTTGAAGACGCTGCGTTGTTTAGTATTTATTTGACAGCCATCAATAGCGATCGCTTTCGGTGAGTTTGTGAAAATGGAGAAAATTGGCCAACGTTATGCGGTACAATACTTTGAATTGAAAAGCCTCAAGGTGAAATTATCAACGGCGAGTATTATGCGAACCTAATGCAACGTTTGAGTGAATAAATCAAGCAAAAACGGCCACATTTGGCTAAGAAAAAAGTGCTGTTTCATCAAGACAATGCATCAGCTCACAAATCCATTATTGCAATGATCAAAATTAACGAATTAAAGTTTGAATTGCTACCTCATGTACCCANTATATATTTAAATTATCTTCGCATTATACTGAATAAACCATTGGAAAATTTATATTAATACCCCCAGTCCGTTGCCTATTAATACTAACTTTACCGCAATATGAGAAAAACCGTCGGCCGCCTTTTTCAATGTCGTTTGTCGTAACTCACTATTTCAAATACTCGTTAGCGGCGTCTTCAAGGGGCGTAGCGGGTAGAAATATCTCAGTGACTTTGTGCCACTTGCCTGAGACGAACTATGTTGCTTTCTTTGGTGTACCGGCATGTTTGCATTTTTGAAATTCTTTCACTGAAAGGACTGTGATAGATATGTTACAGATTATTTTAAATTTGACGAAAAAACCATGACCTTAACGACATAAAAAATTACCGACCTATCATAAGTGTTGAGAACCATGTTGACTATCCCAACACAACTTGTCGAAAATTATGAATACATAAAAGAATTGATTTGGGATATAGGTCAACTACTCTATAATAATATGAATTGTTTCCACAGAAAATAGACTCAACATAGGATTTGTAAATGACACAATACCCGGGACATATAAAGGAAACGACCCCAATTGTATATATCTACTTACTCTTCGTTCAAAAGCTCCAAGCATCCATGATGTCCCCTGTATACGCTGGCAGACTGATCAATGACGTCAGAGAAACATGTACCACCACTGGACTTGCACATGTACCCTGTAGTTACGCAGGACGGAAGATTGCAAAAACATCTGACGTAATCTGAAAATATAAAGTGACGTTGAGTAAGCTTTTTCACCACTGAAAACAGATAAATTGGAGACAGAAAAATGCCTTCAGAAACAGACTTTGGTTTATATTGAAGTTAAGTTCACACATCGTTACGTGATTGAAATTTTAATAGAAATTACTCAGTTTCACACTAAAAAATCGGTGTAACTGCTTGCATGAAGATAAAATAAATATAGTTTGAAAAGACTAAAAAACACGCTTTTGAAGAATATCGAACTAGAAAGTTAAAAA